GAAAAAAAAAAAAAGAAAAGAAAAAAAAGAACAACCACCACCACCACCACCACCACCACCACCACCAGTGCAAAGCTCCCAGGAGCATTAGAGAACAAAGTCCACTCAAGAGCAAACCCCGATCAACAGAGAAAGTGAAGGAAACAGATACAGGTCACCCGCAGTCAGAGAATGCAGCTACTGCAAACAAGGAAGAACTCCTCAGCTTAGAAACGAACCCTGGCTGTCTGAACAAAACATGCCAGAAATCTCAGCACCTGAGGGCTGATGCAAGAGACCTGGTTACAAAGTGACCACCTCTCAAGAAACCAAAATAGAAAAGGAAAAACAGACTACAAAGTCTGCTTCAAAAACATTCTAGATGTAACAAGTAATTGATGGTGGTGATCTTCAGGTACCTTTAAAAAAAAAAGAAGAAAAAAAGACAGGGTCATTGTGCACCCCAGGCTGCCCTTTATTTGTGGCAATTCTCCTGCCCCAGGCCCTGGAGTGCTGAGATCATAGACATTGGTCACCATGCCTGGCAATAATTTGTTAACTTTTAACTTCCCTTTCTAAATGCCTCTAACCACACCCACCAATCCAGAACACAGTAATAAGTAGCAGACAAAACAACACACACACACACTGCTCTCACTGAGCTCCGTGGACCCTTTCTTGAAGATGCAAGAACTGACGCAGGGCAGTGGTGGTGCACACCTTTAACCCCAGCACTCGGGAGGCAGAGGCAGGATTTCTCGTGAGTTCAAGGCTAGCCTGGGCTACAGAGTGAGTTCCAGGACAGACACCAAAACTACACAGAGAAACCCTGTCTCGGAAAACCAAAAAAGGATTTACTGTTATTTATGTTCATAGGAGTGATGATATGTAAGAGAATCAAGTCAAGCAGGGCCAGGCAAACAAATGATACATCACCTGAGAAATACCCATGGCACTATTACATTGATAGTCTCCAAACTTGGGCTGCTGACTTGGAGTTACGACCAGAGGAGGGTTGTCCAGGTCTGGATATGCAGCCCTAATGGCACAGCCAAAGACATCCTGCAGGCGGCTATTGATGTTAATCATATTTTTGGTTGGTCTTCTTCTCTTTTCTGCCTGAAGACTCTGCAGGAAAAGAACAGCAGTGTCTTAATAGAGTAATATAACATCACACAAAACTCTAACTCTGCTGAGAAAAGACAGGATAGGAATGCTCAGACCCTCACAGGGTTCTAAGACATTCTCGGGAACCATCGAGAGCGTCCATTCTGTAGTTACCTTCACAGAACACAAACAATAAAAAGTGGTGACTGAAAAGAACACAAGTGAAGCCCAGCACTCAGGAGGCAGAGACAGGCATAGACCATTAAGACAGGCTTTGCCTCACTATAAATAACCCCTGGCTCACCTCCTCATTGTTTCTCAACAGCTTTTAAGTGGAGCGCAGTCTTTAAGACAGAATATAATTACTCCTATCATCACTCACTATACCTTCACAAAATCGCCTCCACCACCAGACTGCTGAATGCAGGAAAGTATTTCATCCACAGTGCTATCCAATATGCCTGGCGTCACACCTGCCATAAGATGGTATCAAAACAGATCACAGAACAGACTGCAGAAGGTAAGAGGAGGACTGATCTACATACATATCAAGCACCAGGCCAACTAGGGCTACACAACTAGGGCCAGACCTCATCTCAAAGAAGGGAAAGGAAAGGATGTGACCTGTCAGCAGAGCACTGGCCTAGCAGAGGTCCTCCTGACAGGAGTGAGTCAACGCGTGCTTTCTGTGGAGCATAAGGAAAACACTTCCTTTACCACTGAGCCACCCACAGCCCAACTATATCACTAACTTAACAGTAATCAAAAGGAATCAAAGCCAGGCCCAGAAGCTCACCCCTAAAACCCCAGCAGTTAGGAGGTTGAGATAGGAGCAGTCAGCTTGGGCTACGCAGTAATAACCTGTTTCAAAATGACAACAAACTGAAAGACCACCAGTTTAAATAAGAATGCAAGAGCAGCTAAATAAAATGGACGTAGTGTTCAATTCTGTACTAAGTGTTGTGTATGCATGCTTTTTTACTTTATCTACATAACAAAATGGAACTGTCACCACCATCATTACCTTCACATGGGTCAGTGATTGACAGATTACAAACAAGGTGGACAGGAACGTAGAGGTCAAGTCCTATCCTCCCCATCACTGCTACAAAATGGAAACTTTCATACATAAACTATCTTCTTTTTTATTGGAGACAGGGTCACTTTGTAGCCCAGGCTGGCTTGAAACTTTCAACAATCTTCTTCCTTCAGTCTACCAAGTTATATTTTTTCTTTCTTTCTCCCCCCCCTCCCCACCCCCCAAACATTTTCTCTATGTAGCTCTGGTTGTCCAGAACTCTTTATAGGCTAGGCTGTCCTTGAACTCAGAGATCTGCCTGTCTCTTCCTCCACAGTGATAGGATTAAAGCATGCAAAACCACACCCAGCAAAATCATTCTTTTGAAGAGGTGGGAGTTGGTTTGTTTGAACCAGCACTTGGGAGGCAGAGTTCCAGAACAGCCAGGGCTAGGACTACACAGAAATTTTGCTAAGACGTTAGGTCAAATACTGAAAAGGGCAAGGAATGGCTATTAAGGGGGCTCACAACAGCCTGAGATAAAGTGTAATTGGGCTCTGGACCTCTTCCTTAAGTTCCCATCAGTCAATTAGCCTTGCAGAAGGCTCAAGGTAAGGTGTGGTTCTTTCTGGGAACATTTGTTCTCAAAGTATAATTCTGTCCATGTTTATGAAAAGATTGTTATGATACAGAGGCAAAACAACTTTGTAAAAATAAAGCCTGTTCTTTGGTTGAAATTTACCATACCAGAAAATTAAACATTAACTCAGGAAACAAATAAACAAGTTGGTTTAAGTTTTTTTTTCTCCTTCCTTTTCTCCTCTTTGGTTTGTTTTAACAGTCTCCAGCTGCTGAAGCTGGCCTAGAAATCCTGATTCTCCAACCCCCACCTCCAAAGTGCTGGGGATACAGGCATCAGCTCCCAAACTAGATCAATTTTAAGTTTTTAGTTTATCAATTTCTTACTCATGCTTTTCACAATCTTAAGATTTTCTTTTTTGGGGTGTGTGTGTATGTGGGGGGAAGGGTTGATTTTGAAACATAGTTTCTCTGTGTAGCCCTGGCTGCCCTGGGATATGTAGACAAGGTTGGCCTCTGCCTCAGAGTGCTGGAATTAAAGGCATGTGTAACCACTGCCCAGCTCAATCTAAAAATTTCCAATAGAAAATGTCATTTATGCATAGTCTTAGGTCCCCAAAATCAGTAATATGTTTTAACTTTTTTGTAAACTGGAAAGATATTGGTATGTATCTTTTGTAATTAACTTGTACACATACACAAAATCCACTGTACTTGATTTCATCCAAATTAACATGTGCATATAATTAATTTAACTTTCACTTTTTCTTCCCCCACCCTTCTGCCTCCACCAGCAAGTGCTGGAATTACAAGCACCACACCCTGTTTTATCTGGTGCTGGGGACTGAATCCAGGACCTCAAATGTGCTAGGCCAGTGAGCTTGCCAGTCCTTTTTCAGTTGAGGCAGGATCTTGTTCTGTAGCCCAAGCTGGTCTTGAACTCACAGTAATACTCCTGCTGCCTCCCCCCCCCCCCCCCCCCCCGCCACCCCCCCCCACTGCTTTTCAGGAGCTAGGATCAGAGGGGAGCCAGTACATCAGGTTCTTAACTTCCTAGCTGGCCATGGTGCCACAGTCCTTTAATTCCAGCCTTGGGAAGCTGGAAGGAGGACTGCCACATGTCCAAGGGAAATGGGGTACACCCCGCACACTAGGACAACCAGGGCTAGAAGGCCAAGACTCTGACTCAAAACCAAAAGAAATACACATCTTGGTACAATCACCTTTACTACAGTAAAGTAACTTGACTGTATGCATTTTGTAAGAACAACAGCTCTGAGGAAATGAAGATTAGAGGGTTCTCTAATAGCAGCACTATCATGATGGTAATCTTAAAATCGCCAGTGTGACAAGCTTTGTGAATATCTAATTAACTAAGTAGCCAGACTCTGGAGGTGGAGGCAGAGGCAGGTGGATCCATGTGAGACCAGCTTGGTCCACATAGTGAGCTCCAAAAAGGTCAGGGCTACATAGAGACCCTATCTCAAAAAAAAAAAAAAAAAAAAGGCGGTTTAATGAAAAGGAATAAAGGGAAACCGAGGCTGCAATGTTCATGAGAACATGGGTAAAATACCTTGCAGCCGGAACATCTGGTGTGTGCTTTCAAGTTGGAGCATGTGGCCCGAAGAGAGGAAACAGGCAGGTTGAATGGCTATTGTACACAATACTTTCTTTTTAAGATAGGGCTTCTCTGTGTAGCCCTGTTGTCCTGAGACTCGCTCTGTAGACCAGGCTGGCCTCAACTCCGATCTGCTTTCTTCGACCTCCAGAATGCTGGGACTAGAGGCACCACCACCATGGTGCTCTTCGTAGTCTCTTTGTGTTATCTTTCTTTCTGCCTTCAGCAGCCATAAGCATTTAAAAATACATCGGAAATAGTGTACACCTTTAGTTCCAGCACTCGGGAGGCAGAGGCAGGCAGATCTCAGTGAGTTCGGAGGCCAGCCTGGGCTACAAAGAGTTCCAGGGCAGCCAGGACTGTTACACAGAGAAACCCTGTCTTGAAAAACCAACACACACACACACACACACACACACACACACACACACACACACACACCTGAATTTTAAAAAAGCAAATATAACAGAGAATTGAGTATAGATAAATTCAGAACAAACGATGTAACCAAAACCATGTTTCTTTTGTGAGGAGTCCATGAGAAAGGAATTCTGTGTTAGAAGATGTAAAGACAAAGTAATTTAAGCAAAACAGATCCCCGATAGGTAATAAAACCTTCAAGGGAATGGGTCAGGCAGCCTAAGATGAGTAATGCCTGTGCAACCCAAGGAGTAACACACACACACTGGAGAACAATTATGAGAATGAGGTAATACTCTGGGATGTGTCATCAGCAAACTTGAAAGGCAAGACAAAAAACTCAAAGTAAGCTGATTTATTTTTTCTCCGACATGGATAACCGTTGCTGGACTACAAGGCCATTAAAATGACGGCATGGTAGCGCACACCTTTGAGCCCATCACTAGAGAGACAGAAGCAGAAAGACACTGAAGGATGGGGGTTAACCTGGAAGCCAGCCTGGGCTGTAGAGTGAGACACTAAGAAAGAAACCCAAGAGATGCTATAAAATACAACAGAACTGTGAAATAATCAACTTCATAGTGTAGAAGTTATGTATGAGTGAGTATATTTTAAGACATCCCCATTAGTTAGTTCCTAGGTTTCAGTACAAAAACTAAATAAATGAAATATTTCTTTGGTAATGATTCATCAAAAAACATTTCTTTGAAAGCATGGGCATAACCCGTTGAAGAAATATCAACTCCCAAGACAGTCTTTAAACCCACATGGTGAACCACTTCAAAAGCTAGGACTACCTCAATTTTTCCACCATGCACTGAATGAGTCTTAACTTGCCTTATTCAGGAAAACAGATTTTTAAATATTAACTCCTCTTTTCGGTTTCTGTCGGGTATAATTTTAGAATCTTCAGTAACAACAACAACAACAAAAAATGCATTAGAAGATACACAAGAGAGAGTACTCACCCTCCGAAGAATATTCAGTCTATACTTCAACTTTAAATTTTCTTCTCGTAACTGGTCCAAACTCGGAGACTCTTCTAAGTAACCACAGTTCTTCAGCCGGTCGATCTCCGCAGTCAGAGATTTAATCTCCTTTTCCTGTAAAGGGAAAGGCACTTTCCCAGTCCAGGTCAAAGGGCAAATTGTACCAGAGAATTACTTCCTCATTTCAGTTCTCCACAATATGAGAATGAGCTTTCCTTTTGATACCAATGGTTTTACTAACATCAGCAATTATCCCTCATAAAAGGAAAGAGTCTACATGTGAGTGCTGAGAATATAACCTAATAAAGTGTGCACAGTCGCACACAGATATAATCCTAGCACTTGAGAGGCTGAAGTAGGAGGGCTACAGTTTGGGGCCAGCCTGGGACAGACCCTTTTCTAAAACACAGAAGTTTCTTCCTCAGCTCAACAATGCACCCTGACTTGGTCAGAGTACAAGTTTCCAGCTTTACAAACTACCTATATTCCTAAATCTTATGACTTGAACTACAAAAAAAACCCAAACAAACAAAAGCCAAAACAATACCAATAACAAAAAAAAAAAAACCAAAACAATTCCAACAACAAAAAACAAACCTGTGAGAGCTGGGGTCCTAGCTTACCTGTTGCTTGCCTAGCATATGCATGGCTCTGGGTTGGATCCCCAGTGGGACAAAAGGAGATAACATCCATATTCAAAATCACTCAAGTGTCTAAGTGTCTGCCGTTTCTAGGTCTAAGTAAAGTTCCCATACATCCCCCCCCCCCATCTCCAGTGTCCGATTCTATAAACAGGGCTCTCAGCAGTAAAGCGCTGGTCCCTTTAACGTGTACCTAGGGGCTGCTGATTTGCATAAAGCAGCTGCTGTAACAGGACAGGTTTGCCATCACTCTTAGCTAGGACCGGGAAAAGGAACGAAGTTGGTCCCACTTTCGCTTTCTAAAGTTGTGACAGTGTCCCGGACCGACGCTGGCGGCCTCTTGGAAAAGTTTCTGGCCAGGTCCCACGGCACACATGCTCCGTCTGCCCCACCCGGCCTTGGCCGCCAGCCCTGCACACGTGCGCGGGCGGCAGGGCGAGCCTCGCCGTCCACACCCTAGGCTCTGCGATACCCGCTCTTCTCAGTGTGACAGTCGCACGACCCGGCCAGGGATGGGGTTTTCCTCTCCTAGCCAAGAGAAAACGGCCGCCCGGGAAGCGTGGGCCTCGCAAGCACCGAGGTCCGGGGCTGGGGACGCGGCCGCCGCCTGTGGAAGCCGCTGCTGAGCCGGCCCCGCTGCCGCCGGGTGCGAGCCCCGCGCCCCACCCAGAGGACAAACCTGCTGCAGCAGCCTGGCTGAGCACTGAGCCACCAGCCCGTCCATCCTCCCGTCAGCGACCCACACGCCAAGTGTCCGGAAGCGGAAGTGGCTAGTGATTGGCCGGAAACGGAAATTCCTGCCCGGGCCCAGTACTAGTTTCAAGTCGTTCACAGTGCGCCCTCTGCTGCCCCCTGGCGGGATCCAGGAGGCACTGCGAGAGAGGCGGAGAGCTGCGTGCTTGCTACATAGCTCACTGATGATGATGGGGCCAGGCAGGATGTATTTTAGGAGCCTGTTCTCTAGAGTCACAGAACTCACAGAATGAATCTCTCTCTCTTCCTCTCCTTCTCCCCCCACCCCTGGAATTTACTGGAATGACTTACAGGCTGCAGTCCAACGATGGCTAGTTGTGAATGGAAAGACTCTAGTAGCTGCTCAGTCCCACAAGAATGGACGTCTCCGATGGAATGGATGTGCTGAGATGGCAAGGACAAGCAGGCCAAAAGAACGAACGTTTCCTTCTTTCATTGTCGTTCTATGGGCTTCCAGGAGAAGAAGTGGCCCAGATTAAAGGTGTGCCTTCCAGCCTCAAGGTCTGGATTAAAGGCATGTGGTCCACTTGCCTCAAGATCTGGATCACAGGGTGCCCTCCATTTCTGAATTATAGTTCATTCCAGATAGAGTCAAGTTGACAACCAAGAATAGCCATCGCGGAGCCTTAGGCCAAAGCTGCCCTGTGCTTGGACTGGTGTGGGGGCATGTGCGTAGACTCTGTCTCTCAAGGCATAGACTTGGGCACAGAACCCCTAAACCCACCCTCCTGGTAAACAAACTTGTTGTGGTTATTCACATGAATGAACTAGACACTATCTCCAGGGTGTGAGGATGTCAAGAATGAACGACAGACAGAAAAGGTCCTCAAACTTACAGACTGTCTGAAAGGGAAGGACAAAATAAACAAGTTTTCATTGTTATGTGTATGTAGTGTGTGTGTTTTCTAGAGCTGAGGACCAAATCCAGGGCCTTGTGCTTGCTAGGCAAGCGCTCTACCACTGAGCTAAATCCCCAACCCGTGTGTGTATGTGTGTGTGTGTGTGTGTGTGTGTGTGTGTTTTGAGACAACACTTTGTAGTCCATTCTAGCCTCCAACTCTCCATGCCCCTGCTTCAGCCTCCTTAGCACAGTGACAACAGGTATGCACTACCACGCCACACTAACAATCTGTTTTAATTACCAAGAAAGTAATATGATAGAATGGCTTGGGCCAGGCAGCCTACTGCAGCTTCCCTCAGGCCCCACTGCCTTGTTTGAAAGAGGCAGCCCAGGGTAGCCTGGCACTGTGTAGTGGAGGGATGGTCTTGAACTTCTGACTTTTCTTCTTCTACCTCCCAAGGGCTAAGAAAACATGCATTTACCACCAAGATGGACTTAGTTTACCTCAAACTTTCTTTCTTTCTTCCTTTCTCTCTCTTCCTTTCTCTCTCTCTCTCTTTCTCTCTTTCTTTCTTTCTTTCTTTCTTTCTTTCTTTCTTTCTTTCTTTCTTTCTTTCTTTCTTTCTTTCTTTCTTTCTTTTCTTCCTTCCTTTTGTTCTTTCTGTTTTTTGTTTTTCTCGAGGCAAGCTTTCTTTAGTGAAGCAGTCCTGGCTGTCCTGGAACTCACTCTATAGACCAGGCTGGCATTGAACTCACAGAGATCCACCTGCCTCTGTCTCCCGAGCACTGGGATTAAAGGTGTGCACCACCACCACCACCACCACCACCACCACCACCACCACCACTTGGCTACCTTAAAATTTATTAATTTTACCATCCTAAACAACATTTATGAATCCATGGGCTTAGTGTGCTGGTTATAGATGCTATATATTAAATGAATACATTGTTGGACTGGAGAGAAGGCTCAGTGGTTGAGAGCACTGCTGTTTTTCCAGAGGACCCGAGTTTGATTCCCAGCACCCACATGGCAATGCACAAGCATCTATAAACATATATTTCCAAGGGATCTGATGCTCTCTTCTGGTGTGCAGGCATACGTGCAGACAAAACACCCATATACATAAAATACATAAGAAAATCTTTAAAAATTAATATATTGTTATAAATAATAAAGAACACAGCCAAAACTACCTGTGTTTTCTTTTTGCTAATTAGAGCAGGCTGGCCTAGAATTCAAGAGTTTACTGTGTTCTGGGGTTACATTGGTGTCACCCCTCCTGGCCTATAGTTTTCTACAGTGTCACCAGTGGTGCTTACGCCCACTTTGGGGAGATGCTGCATCAAGGCGTTGCTTATCACAACAACTCCTAAAACAACCGTGAAGCATAGTGGATCATAACTGTAATCCCAGCACCTGGGATGCTGAGGCAGGGGGATTGTTGTAAATTTGAACCCAGCCTGGGTTAGTGAGTTTTAGGGCAACCTGGGCTGTAGAGTAAGGCCCTGTCTCCAGGTAATCAAAAAAGAAGAAAAGAAAGAAAGAAAGGAGGGAGGGAGGGAGGGAGGGAAGGGAGGAAGGAAGGGTCACAAACCACTGAGAAATGTCTCCATAACAAGACTAGAAAGACTGTGGCCTTCACTTCAGCTAGTCACTAAGTAATTGTTGAAGTATCGATCATGTGTTAGGGAACACTCTGGCTCAGGGGCTGAAGTAGTGAACGAGGTATGTCTGGTGCATGAGACATTAAAAGGGGAATCAGATACATACAAGTATTGGCAAGAAGTTCCATAATGTCAAGCCTGTGACCTGCTATTTCCAATTAGCTTCATTTACCCACTATCCTGTGGTTGATAGTAAAGACATGACCATAGTCCCACTAATACATTTATTTAGTCCAAAGTACACTGGGAATAGCTGTACTAATGGTAAAGGCCAAAAATATGAAAATGAGTTATCCCTAATGAGTAAAATATAAACTTTACTACTGTGGTTTAACATTGTGGGTCTACACCAGTGGAGAGTGGATCTCAGCACTGTGGGTCTGTAACAACAGAGAGCAGATCTCAGCACTGTGG